GAATGATGTTCTCCAGATTCTTCCATGTCCCTACAAAGGACACAAACTCATCATTTTTGATTGCTGCATATATTCCATGGTGTATATGTGCCACATTTTCCCAGTCCAGTCTATCATCGATGGGCATTTGGGTTGGTTCCAGGTCTTTGCTATTGTAAACAGTGCTGCAATGAACATTCGTGTGCATGTGTCCTTATAGTAGAACGATTTATAGTCCTTTGGATATATACCCAGTAATGGGATTGCTGAGTCAAATGGAATTTCTATTTCTAAGGCCTTGAGGAATCACCACACTGTCTTCCACAATGGTTGAACTAATTTACACTCCCACCAACAGTGTAAAAGTGTTCCTATTTCTCCACATCCTCTCCGGCATCTGTTGTCTCCAGATTTTTTAATGATCGCCATTCTAACTGGCGTGAGATGATATCTCAATGTGGTTCTGATTTGCATCTCTCTAATGACCAGTGATGATGAACATTTTTTCATATGTTTGTTGGCCTCATGTATGTCTTCTTTTGTAAGGTGTCTGTTTATATACTTTGCCCATTTTTGGATGGGCTTGTTTGTTTTTTTCTTGTAAATCTGTTTGAGTTCTTTGTAAATTCTGGATATCAGCCCTTTGTCAGATGGGTAAACTGCAAAAATTTCTTCCCATTCTGTTGGTTGCCGATTCACTCTAGTGACTGTTTCTTTTGCATATGTCTTAACTATAGAGTCTTTAAGAGTTTTCAGATTCCCAATACAGTGTTTATATGATGCTCATGTGCCATTGAGAAGGCAGTGGAAGTGAGCTGGCAGCCTGAGTGTACCAAGGCAGCAGGTTGATCACAGAACTGAAGCCTTGGGTTCTGTCCTACCTCTAGGTGTAGTCCATTGCTTTCTTAGTCACTTCCCCATTCTAGGTTTACTTAAAAAGAGGGGATTAAGCTGAATTAAGCTAACAACAACAAAAACCCACAACATTTTCCAGCTCACACTACATTTATTCATGTTCTGGGAGTTCCAGCATGAGCCTAGCTTGATATTGTAGGGCATAACAGGGCCTATTTGACAGGGGAGTAGGAGAAGTCTAGTTGCATAATAATAAAATTCTCCTGGGAAAATAACCCACTAAAAGAGTGAGCTCACAACCTTTGTTTCAATCACAGTGCTCTAGCACTGGAAAAATATTTTTCATACCCAACATTGAGTTATATTGTTCACTACTTAGAGCTTTTTCTGGCTCAGTCCCTGGGATTGGTAGTTGAATTCTGGGAAAATTTCAGACACAGTGGAGTACAAATTACTCGTAAGACCTCTTAATTAAGTAGTTTCACCTACGAAGAATCAAAATCCCTGACTCAAGCTTGTGTATGGAATAAGAACACTTAACATAACTGGGTTTCAAAGGAAGGGCAGCATAGTTACATCCTAAGACTGGTTCTCTTTGGGCTCACGATATGGCTGCCAGTGGCCATGGGGGAATATATACTTCCGAGTTTACAATGAAACATGAAATATGAGTCCTTCTTTTTATTCTGCTCATTTTATCTAGGATTATGATGCCCATCCCTGTACTAATCTCAGGGGATGGAAGACTGCCATTGGGTTCAACTAATCAGGTTCTATCCCAGGTGATCCAGATATGGTCAGTTCCTCTAAGGTATTTGGAAAATAGGTAGTTTTCTGAAAACTATTTTGGTTCTCTAAGGTACTATGAATAGTCTGCAGACAATGGGCACCTTCCATGACTCTGACCAGTGTCTGGGCTGCTGGGAAAAGAGAGCATCTGCTGGTTGGTTAAATAAACTTACCTTGAGGACCTCAGAGCAGGAGTTTGTTGACAAGCACAGGTGTCTATAATAGTCTTGTAAGAACTGACAGTGTTACTGGCAGTGAATCTGTATGGGTCTGCTGCAACCACAATTCTTGCCTTCTCAGAAGAAAGAATTAGACTCGTAAGGAAGAGTGAGAGACTGAGACAAGTTTTAGAGCAGTGATGAAAGTTTATTAAAAAGCTTTAGAGCAGGAATGAAAGGAAGTAAAGTACACTTGGAAAAGGGTCAAACAGGCAACTTGAGAGATCAAGTGGATAGTTTGACCTTTTGACTTGGAGTTCTATATGCTGACGTACTTCTGGGGTCTTATGTCCCTTCTCCTGAGTCTTCCCTTGGGGTGGACTGACCACCAGTGTGCTAGTGCTGGGAGGGGCCGCATGCGCAGTGTGTTTACTGGAGTTGTACGCATGCTCACTTGAAGTGTTTTCTTACCAGCTGATTGCTCCTAGAAGGTCAAACTCCGCCATTTTGCCTCTTAATGCACATGCTTGAACCCACTGGCCCAACTCCTGAGATGTTATCCGGAAGCTGCTGATCACCAGTTTCAGGTGTTTTCTGTCTACTGGGAGACTGCCTTTCCCTGGCACCTGGGTTTCTCATTCACTGTTATTGACTTGGGCTGAAATTACATGTTCCATGCAGCTGCAAGGAAGTTGCCTAAGAAAAGCTATCAAACACATGTGAGGATTGGAGACTACAGCAAATGTACGAGTGACGAACCTGCTGGCTGGGATTTGAGATCAGTGAAAATTCAAGAAATATATTTGGACAGACCTCTAGAGACTTGGCTAAAATAAATAACAGCAGACATTTAAAAAAGTGTTTTTTCCTTGATTAGTGGTATAATTATTCTTTAAATCATGAATCTAACCCTTTTCTTGATAGGTGGGTTTGAACTGCAGAAATTCTAGTTCAATTTTTACTTCTGATGGCATCATTTTAATGTTAATGCATGTTGATGTATGTCTCCTTTCTTTAGCAGTAGGACTTCCTTGAGCTGATTAGAATAGCTGTGCCCTCTGTAAAAACCCTACCGTAATGCATCTACTTAAAAACCTTAAAAACCTTAATGCATCTACTTTGCATGTAAACAGGGAGCTTGGCTGTGGCCTAACTGAATTTCTATGCCTGTACGTGTGGTTTCCTGAAAAAGAAAATGAGACCCTGTCTCCATGTCTTTATAACATGCATGTTTTCTTTTTTTTTTAAACTGTGCATCTGAGTCACACTGAACAACTCTATTTCTACTCCAAAGGGGGAAAATAAGTTAAATTTATGTTTCATGCCAGCAAGGCATTTTAAAGTTAATCGGGCCCTTTGGGCCTAATTTAATTTGTGTAAGATTGCTGTTGATGATTAGAATAGCTATTTAAGATTTTTGTTAACAATCTGTTATGTGGACCTAATGGAAGTGCTCCAAAAGCAGTCTGTTTGCTCTCCCCTGTCAAATTCAGGTTACAGAGCCTTCACAGATGTTGTGAGTAGACATCAATACGAAAAGGGGATAGAACACAAATTAAAATCAGAAGTGTACTCAAACTGCCAGTGTTGAGCTTTGGTTAAAAACATCTGTCACATAAAAGCAAACACTCAGAGCCGTTAGGTCTTGTAACAATTGTCTTTATTTTTCATACCTTTGGCATTTTCATCATTTTATGTTACTGCTGTCTTTGGAATTTTTCATACAAGTGATTTTTAACATCACTGATTTCTCTACACAAACAACTCTTGTAAGGCTTTTGTACTAACACTACAAAGTGAGAGAACGATAAACAGAGCTGGAATTCTAACGGTCTCATAGAATCTGAAAAATAGGCTGACCAAGGCAGAGCACGTTAGTGAAGTGAATATATTTAACTCATTCTGGCCAATATTAGATCAAACTCTCTCTCTGGTTTCTGCTACAAGGTTATTTTTCATCGTTTCAAAGTTTCCAGCTACCATTCTTATTTTACAGATGTCAGCGATCATAAAAAGCCCGAAGGTGCCAGGTCTCCCTTCGGTACAAAGAGATTTCAGGATGCTCTTGAGCCACTCTCCTGATATTTGCTATAAATCACATATTTTTTTTTCAGAGTTAGGATTTTATGTCTGTCATTACTTTGCTTCATAGCTTTTACGATTTCATTCCTTTATTCTGTTTTCATTTTCTGTTTTCCAGGCTTTGTATTTCAAAACCACAGCCCTTCTATTTCCTTTCTTCTCGTTTTTCTCTTCCATGTCCACTTCTGCCTTCCTTAATTTTCTTTCCCCTCCTTTCCTCTCATTTCTTTTACAGACTGAGTGATTTATGGTGAAAGCACAGTAAGTGTCTGTCTCATGAGCTCCAGCTAAGGATGCAGCCACCAAAGGCAAGATCAAGAGACAGCACCACCTCCCCCAGTGGCATGTTCCCCTACGCAGGAAACACCACCTGCTTCCTATGTGGCTGGAGGGGTGGGGGCTGTGCACAGCAGCGAAGATGCTAGGAGATTATAGGCAGATCTTTTGCAAATAATCTTTTTTAAAGTTATTGATTCATATCAGTGGAATGTAAGATTTAAGTTAATCCTATTAAATCAGAAATCTCTAATGTTATACCGTTTTATGTAGTGGGTAATTTAAGAAAAAGGATTTAAAAAAACAAATAGGAAAGGTGTGGATCATGTTCTTGGTCACTCCTGTCTGGTCACCTCAACCTTCTGCTTTCTTATGCTGCCATTTGCACCCTGCATGACATTATATCAGCTCTCCTTTCCTCTTTGTTCAGAACAAAATCCCTTTTATAGCAAAGTGGAGAAAATTCTCAATGCCATGAATGCTGAGTGAAACTCAAATACAAAGGCCTTGCAATCACATTTTCACCCATAACTCATTATGTAATTATAAGGCTTTCTCAAGCCTTTGTATTCCCCCCTCAAATATATTTTTAAAGAATTTTAAAGCTTTTGTTTCTGCACCCCTGAAGATAATGATAAAACACCCTTACCTCTCCCATTTCCATGTGTCCACCTTTTAAATAATATTCTTGACGAAATCATGAGATCACTGATATTAAAGTGGGAAGGTCTTGCAGTTTTTTTCTTGTGGAGTTCTAATTTGATTGTGGGCATCCTTTATAAAGCTTGTTCCACCCTCTCCTGTGGAGTTGTCCCAGCTGTGACTCCCGTTTTAAGAACTATGTTCTTTTCTCTGTTGCAGACCTATGTAGTACATGGGGTGCTGGTCAATGCTAATAGCTGGCTCTCAGGGAAAAAGAAAACACATCAGTGGCATCTACTGATTTCTATGGTGTAAATACTCTCAGCTCTGGCAATTTCAAGCCATCAATTTGACATTGCTGAACCCAAAGTTGACTTAGGATGTGCACAATTAATTGGCTTTTGGGAGCAAGTAGGAGCTGACTCAGGGAGTATTAAGCTACTCAAGAAGCATTTGCCTACTGGCACCCACTTCTTTTTTAATGTACTGTGGAGGAAAAGGTATGTAAAATAGTGTTCTTGGCTTGAGGGGTTTACAGTCTAGCCAGGGAGAAAGAGACCCAAAGCAATCACCAGAGAAACCAGAGTGCAACAGCCTGGATCCATAAGCTCCACTAAAGGGATTCAAGCAAAGTCCTCAAGAAAGGCACTTTAGCAAAGAAAGTGTGGTTAAGGGAGGCAGAGGGTTTCATGACATGGAGGAAAAGGGAAAAGGCATTCCAGGCAAGGGAAGGCTGGAGGGTTGGAATAGGCATGGAGTGTTCCTAAAAAAAACAAAACAGATTCTCAGTCATCAAGACTGCCTGATGACCCCAAAGGGGAGGTTTTTGGTAGTATTTCAGATTATTCATTTCCCTCTTTACCAGGTACACACGTTTCTTTTGATCCTTCCTATAACTGTAGGAGATAGGTAAAATATAATAGGTGTAATTATTATTATACTCACTTAGCAAAAAAAAAATGCTTAGAAAAGTAAGAAAGCTAAGGGAAGTTAAGGGCTCTCATGGACCCCTTTGAGCCAGGCCCAGAATGTTCTCTCCCCACCTTATTGCACCCCAGTCTGAAAGTCCTGCTCTGCGGACCCTCACCCACAGAGTGCCCTCTCAAACTGTAAGACCTTTCATTGCATGAGCAAGATCCCATTTTCCTTACAGTCAAACTGAAGAACTACCTCAATGGTTTTAGAAAGAAAAGCAAAGTCCATTTCTCTTCTAACATCTGTCCTGAAAAGGGCTTTGGGGGCATGGGCAGTGGAAAAGTCACAGAGCTGGGCGTCAGAAGAGCTAGATTTAGGTTTGGGATCTGATGGAGAGCAGTGTGATATTAGGCAGACGGCTTAACATTTTGGGTTTCTGTATGTCGTACAGGAACTGATGAGTTGACTTGCATGGCCTCCAATGTTCCTTTTATCTCGGAAAGGCTGCACTTCTAGATACACTAAAATGCCAATCTAGAACTGTGTCACTACATGGGCCTCCAGAGAAGCTGGGGAGCCTAGAGGAGTTGAGTGTGTTGAAGGTTGAAGCACAAGTGCCTTACAAAATACTTTTTTTTCTGCTTCCTTCTGCCACTTTTTTTTTAAATTATACTTTAAGTTCTGGGGTACATGTGCAGATCGTGCTGGTTTGTTACCTAGGTATACATGTGCCATGGTGGTTTGCTGCATCCATCAACCTGTCATCTACATTAGGTATTTATCCTTTCCCAATCCCCCTATCCCTTGCTATCCCTCCCTTCCCCACCCCACCCCCCACCAGCCCAGGTGTGTGATGTATCCCTCCCTGTGTCCATGTGTTCTCATCGTTCAACACCCACTTATGAGCGAGAACATGCGGTCCTTACAAAATAATTTAATTGAAGTTCTTGGATATCACTTCTTCAAGATGGTCTTATTTATTTATTTATTGGCCTGGGCTAGATTGCAGTGACATGAACACAACTCATTGCAGCCTCAACCTCCCGGGCTCATGCAATCTTTTCACCTCAGCCTGTGAGTAGCTGGGAAAACAGGCATATGCCTCCATGCCCAGCTAATTTTTTCTTTAAATTTTTTGTTAAGTGGTCTCCCTATGTTTCCCAGGTTCAAGATGGCCTTCTAATGGAGCCAATATCTATATATCCGTTCAACATATTGCAAATAAACTTTGGAAGTAACCAGTTATATGAAATAAAGAAGTAAGTAAACTATTAAATAAATGGCCTTACTTTATTTTCTCCTCTTCAGGCTTGTGCAAAAGACTTGAGACAGCTCACGATGAAGTGCTCTGTATTAGGCAGGGTGATATTGGTTGCAAGTGACAGAAACCCAATCAGAAGCTCACTGAAGCCATGAGGAATACTCATTGGCTCAGATAACCTAACTGTTGGATGGGCAGGGATGTATCTGGCTTGGGAGCAAATAGTACCAGGTGCTGAAAGTCGCTCTCTCAGACTCTGGTCTGTCTGTCTTTCTGTGTCACAACCTTGGAGGTTGTGGCCATCTGGCTTATCACTGGTCAAGAAGATGTTTCTTTCATTAGTTCCTTGATTCCACTTAGAAATAATGCTAGTCAAAGACTCTGGCCTTCGGCAAACACATTGACAATGGTCTGAGGGTGGGAGAGGGCAGAGATGGACTGCATTACTAAAAACAAGGTTGGAGTTGGGACAGGTGGGGAGAAGCATTTATCTAAAAGAAGGTGCTGCTGCTACCAGAGGAGGAGTGTTTGGGCTGGGTGGACAAAACAAAAGATGTCCACAACAAATACGTAAATAGAATCATTAATGAAAGCAGAAGGGATGGAAACGAGCAGCGTTGGTTGTGCAAGAAAACCCAAATTAATTATGGTAGCTTCAGTTTGCCCTCACATATGTGAAAGTCAAGGTAACAGAGAGAAATATATCATTTATAAATAAAAGGAAGCAAATATTTTCCTATGTATAAACTGTACTATGATAATTAAATAGGTTTACAGTAGTCATTCAGTGGACAACATTTTTCCATAGTGATTTTCAAAAAAGAGGCAAACAGTTTTTATTCTGTCATATCTTATATCAAAAAATTATATTTAGAGCATATTAGCTCATATTTCTTTTAGGTCTTCATGGTGTATTTAGGATGATAAAAAAGGTAGATCTGGGGAGATAAACCCAGGTATATAGCTTTCAGATGATCAAATCTATTCGCATAACATCCAATTAATGGACTTTTAATGACACTACATTTTTATCAATGTTTAAAGGTTATGTTTGCTCCCATTTTGAACTTTTTGTTCAGTGTAGAAGACTGGAATGATCATATTATGTGAAACTGTGTCGAAGAGAGTCACTGAGAAAGAGGTAATGTCAAGTCACAGGGAAAGTAAGAAGTGGCTGGAACACACTGGGACTGGGCCATAAACATAAAAAACATGCAGTCAGGACAGTAAACAACTGTACTCAAGTTCTTCAAGTACAAACTATGACACTGTGACACTGTACTAGGGAAACCAAATAGTGTATTCATTGGCAATGTTTTCTTTTTTCTTTTTTTTGAGACAGAGTCTTGCTCTGTCGCCTAGGCTGGGTGCAGTGGCGCAATCTTGGCTCACTGCAACCTCCACCTCCTGGGTATACGTGATTCTCCTGCCTCAGCCTCCTAAGTAGCTGGGATTACAGGCGAGCACCACCATGCCCAGCCAATTTTTGTTTTGTTTTTTTAGTAGAGACCGGGTTTCACCAAGTTGGTCAGGCTGGTCTTAAACTCCTGACCTTGTGATTCACCCTCCTCAGCCTCCCAAAATGCTAGGATTACAAGCGTGAGCCTCCATGCCCAGCAGCAATGTCTCTTATGGATACCAGGAGATATTGTTAGTCTGCTGTAGTGCAATTATTGTTGATTTGTTTGGTGTATTCTTAATTCATTTAATCCTTTAAATTGTGCTACTCCAAGTTCTAGTAAATACAAGAAAGTATTTACTACTCAAGTATTCTAGTAAATACTAGAAAGTATCCAGCAAATCTGAAAAGACTGGGAGTCATTGAGTTAGTAGACAATGAAAATAGTTACCTTAATTGAACTAATTTCAGACTCTATGTGCTGTCTCTCTGGGGACGGTGAGGAGAAGAGTGACTCCATCACAGCCAGGTAGTTCCAAACGTATCTGTTGTGCATATGTGAATTCCACATAATTGACTTGTAAAATAAATTGTCTTTAACTCAAAACAAAACACCTTGAAAATCAGTCTTAGACTGTGGCTTTTATTTTTCCAATATCTCTTAGTATTCCTGGACTTTCAAAATTGTTCTATTACAGAAATTCTCAAACATCGAAAAGTAGAGAGATAGTATAATGAACCCATTTACACAATATTCAAACTCAACAATTTTTAACATTTCGTTTTTCTTGTTTTTTAAAAAGCATTTCGTATAACTGATCCAAAGGAATTTTTTTTACATATAACGTCATCATAGACTCTTTTTATAAAAAAATGATTATAAACATTTGCACATTTAAAAGAGGAGTTTTCAGGAATTTGATAAGGCACACCCGGGATCACCAGGGGGGTGCTCAGAACCCACCAGGCACACCAAGGACCCACCAAGCACAGGTCCAGCCCCAGTTGTCCATCTTGCATTATCTATTATTCACTATTTTTGAGGTCATATTGTTTTATCCGTAATTACTTTGGTAGTATATAAATCTAACAGATGAGGATTTTTATTTATTTTTAATTTTTTATTGCATTTTAGGTTTTGGGGTACATGTGCAGAACATGCAAGATAGTTGCATAGGTACACACATGGCAGTGTGTTTTGCTGCCTTCCTCCCCTTCACCCACATTTGGCATTTCTCCCCAGGCTATCCTTCCCCAGCTCCCCTCCCCCCCGCTGTCCCTCCCCTATTCTCCCCAATAGACCCCAGTGTGTAGTACTCCCTTCCCTGTGTCCATGTGTTCTCATTGTTCATCACCCGCCTATGAGTGAGCATATGTGGTATTTCATTTTCTGTTCTTGTGTCAGTTTGCTGAGAATGATGTTCTCCAGATTCGTCCATTTCCCTACAAAGGACACGAACTCATCATTTTTGATTGCTGCATAATACTCCATGGTGTATATGTGCCACAATTTCCCAGTCCAGTCTATCATCGATGGGCATTTGGGTTGGTTCCAGGTCTTTGCTATTGTAAACAGTGCTGCAATGAACATTCATGTGCATGTGTCCGTATAGTAGAACGATTTATAGTCCTTTGGGTATATACCCAGTAATGGGATTGCTGGGTCAATTGGAATTGCTATTTCTAAGGCCTTGAGGAATCGCCACACTGTCCTTCACAATGGTTGAACTAATTTACACTCCCACCAGCAGTGTAAAAGTGTTTGCATTTCTCCACATCCTCTCCAGCATCTGTTGTCTCCAGATTTTTTAATGATCGCCATTTTAACTGGCGTGAGATGGTATCTCAATGTGGTTTTGATTTGCATCTCTCTAATGACCAGTGATGATGAACATTTTTTCATATGTTTGTTGGCCTCATATATGTCTTCTTTTGTAAAGTGTCTGTTCATATCCTTTGCCCATTTTTGAATGGACTTGTTTGTTTTTTTCTTGTAAATCTGTTTGAGTTGTTTGTAAATTCTGGATATCAGCCCTTTGTCAGATGGGTAAACTACAAAATTTTTTTCCCATTCTGTTGGTTGCCGATTCACTCTAGTGACTGTTTCTTTTGCTGTGCAGAAGCTGTGGAGTTTCATTAGGTCCCATTTGTCTATTTTGGGTTTTGTTGCCAATGCTTTTGGTGTTTTCGTCATGAAGTCCTTGCCTACTCCTATGTCCTGAATGGTTTTGCCTAGATTTTCTTCTAGGGTTTTTATGGCGCCAGGTCTTATGTTTAAGTCTTTAATCCATTTGGAGTTAATTTTAGTGTAAGGTGTCAGGAAGGGGTCCAGTTTCTGCTTTCTGCACATGGCTAGCCAGTTTTCCCAACACCATTTATTAAACAGGGAATCCTTTCCCCGTTACTTGTTTTTGTCAGGTTTATCAAGGACTGTATGGTTGTAGACATGTTGTGTTGCCTCCAATGCCTCTGTTCTGTTCCATTGGTCTATATCTCTGTTTTGGTACCAGTACCATGCTGTTTTGATTACTGTAGCCTTGCAGTATAGTTTGAAGTCCAGTAGTGTGATGCCTCCCGCTGTGTTCTTTTTGCTTAGAATTGACTTGGCTATGGGGGCTCTCTTTTGGTTCCATATGAAGTTCAAGGTGTTTTTTTCCAGTTCTGTGAAGAAAGTCAATGGTAGCTTGATGGGGATAGCGTTGATTCTGTAAATTACTTTGGGCAGTATAGCCATTTTCACAATATTGATTCTTCCTAACCATGAACATGGAATGTTTCTCCATCTGTTTGTGTCCTCTCTTATTTCGTTAAGCAGTGATTTGTAGTTTTCCTTGAAGAGGTCCCTTACATTCCTTGTAAGTTGTATTCCTAGGTATTTTATTCTCTTTGTAGCAATTGTGAATGGCAGTTTGTTCTTGTTTTGGCTCTCTTTCAGTCTATTATTGGTGTATAGGAATGCCTGTGATTTTTGCACATTGATTTTATATCCTGAGACTTTGCTGAAGTTGCTTATCAGTTTCAGGAGTTTTTGGGCTGAGGTGATGGGGTCTTCTAGGTATACTATCATGTTGTCTGCAAATAGAGACAATTTGGCTTCCTCCTTTCCTATTTGAATACACTTTATTTCTTTGTCTTGTCTGATTGCTCTGGCTAGAACTTCCAGTACTATATTGAATAGGAGTGGTGAGAGAGGGCATCCTTGTCTAGTGTTGGATTTCAAAGAGAATGCTTCCAGTTTTTGCCCATTCAGTATGATATTGGCTGTTGGTTTGTCATAAATATCTTTTATTATTTTGAGATACAATCAGCTTGCCAGTATTTTATTGAAGATTTTTGCATCTATGTTCATCATGGATATTGGCCTGAAGTTTTCTTTTCCTGTTGAGTCTCTGCTGGGTTTTGGTATCAGGATGATGTTGGTCTCATAAAATGATTTGGGAAGGACTCCCTCATTTTGGATTATTTATAATAGTTTCAGAAGGAATGGTACCAGCTCCTCTTTGTGTGTCTGGTAGAATTCAGCTGTGAATCCATCTAGACCTGGGCTTTTTTTGTGTGGTTGGATCTTAATTACTACCTCAACTTCAGACCTTGTTATTGGTCTATTCATAATTTTGGCTTCCTCCTGGTTTAGGCTTGGGAGGACACAGGTGTCCAGGAATTTACCCATTTCTTCCAGGTTTACTAGTTTATGTGTATAGAGTTGTTTGTAATATTCTCTGATGATGGTTTGAATTTCTGTGGAATCTGTGGTGATTTCCCCTTTATCGTTTTT